CTCTGAGCCTGGAGTTGCAAGGATGTATCAGGCGGACCGGGCTGGACCAGCGTAGCCCGCGCGCGACATCTTGCAGCCCAGAGACGACGCATGCAAAATCCGCCGGACCACTTCGCACGCGGTCTCTCGGAGCCAAGATTTGCGAGGACGTGTTAGGCGAGTTTGGCAGGACCACCTCGCGCCTGGCAACTCGGATCCCAGAATTGCGGGCATGCCCCGGGCGACCTGGGCCGGACCAACTCAGGTCAGGGCATATCTAGGCCAAGAGTTGCGAGGATGTCCAGGGCGAATCAGACCAACTCAGGTCAGAGCATTTCCGATCCCAGAGGTGCAAGGATGCCACTGGCGAAAATGGGCCAGACCACCTCGCGAAAGGTATATCTGAGCCGAGAGTTGTGAGGATGTCTCAAGCGAAATGGGCCGGACCACATCAAACCAGGACATTTATGGGCCCAGAGTTGCGAGGATCATCAGGCGAGCCGGGCCGCACCTCTTCACGCGCGGCATCTAGGAGCCCAGAGTTGCGAAGATGTCTCAGGCTAAATTGACCAGACCACCTCGCGCGCGGCATCTCGCAGAGTTGGAGGACATCTCAGGCGATAATGTCTGAAGTAGAATTGTCCAGATCACCTCGCGCGCGGCATGTCTGAGCCTAGAGTCGTGAGGATGTCTAAGGCGAAGCGGGCTGGACCTACTCAGGTTAGGGGCATATCTGGGCCCAGAATTGCGAAAATGGCGAAACGGACCAGACCACTTCGCGCGTGGCATCTTGGATTCCAGAGTTGCGAGGATGTATCAGGCGAAATGGGCCAGGCCATCTTGCCCCCGGCAATTCGGAGCCCAGAGTTGCGACGATCTCTCAACGCAATGTAATGCAGTGCCATGGGAAGTGACGCAGCAGAAATGCAATGCCATGCGTTGTAATGCAATGCCATGCAATGCAACGCAAAGGCACTCCATGCAATGTGATGAGACAGTGACTTCCACTGCGTGGGATGCGGGATAGAGATAGAGAGGGAAAGGAGGAGCACGGAGGAGGAGGTGTAGTTATTTTTCCAGAGCTCCCCATGCAACTTGGCATGAACCACTGTGCAACACCAGTAGCAGGAGGCAGGGCTGGCAACACGATCAAGCAAACGAAACGCATTTAGCAGGCCAGAAGCTCACTTAGCAGGAAGAGGACGCTTTCGGCGACGGCGGCGGCGACGACGACCGACGACGACGGCCGCCGAAGGCCGCCGAGGCAGAGGAGGAGGAGGAGGAGGAGGAGGAGAAGGAGGGGGAGAAGGAGGAGGAAGAGGAGGAGAGGGAGGAGGAGGTGACAAGGAAGAGGAGGAGGAGGAGGAGGAGGAGGAGGAAGAGGAGGAGAGGGAGGAGGAGGAGGAGGAGGAGGAGGAGAGAAGGAGGGAGTGGTAGGACGTGACAAGAGGAAGGATGGGGAGAAGGACAGGAGGAGGAAGTGGAGGAGGAGGACGAGGAGGATGGCGAGAAGAAAAACAGGACCAGCAGCAGGAGGCGGAGCTGGCAACAGGATCAAGCACATCGGGAGCCCACTTAGCAGAACAGAAGCCCACTTAGCAGGAACACGACTTAAGAGGAGGAATACTTGAGGAGGATGAGGAGGAGGAGGAGAGGAGGAGGTGGAGGAGGAGGAGGGAGAGGAGGAGGAGGAGGAGGATGAGGAGGAGGAAGAGGAGGAGGAGGAGGAGGAGGAGGAAGATCAGTGTGAATCGAAGATTCATCAAAGCTATCGCAATCAACCCTCCCTCCAAGTTTCCTCTTCATCAGGCCCTACACTGTTTTAGTTTCACAGAGGGATGTGCCCCGTGGGAAGACAACCGTTTGAAAATCCTGAGCTGTGCCAGAACACCATTCCTGGGACGTCAACGAAGCCAATCAGCCATAGCGTTGCGTCTTGACGATCCAGAATCGTGCCAGGTCGCCAGTCCTGGGACTGCAGGACCGCGAACCAACGCCATTGTTGCGCCCTGACATTCCGACATCGTGCCGAAACGCTATTCTGGGACGTTAGCCATGGGAATCCATAAAGCCGATGCAAGCCCTTCGAACGGATGTGCGCGGCGCCAAGGCGAGAGCCACATTCTGAAAACCACTCGCCCTCCGTGAGTGTTGCACATTCCCAGCTGAAGGCTCAAGGATCATACACTGCATTGAAGTCTCAAGCGAAACGCCCGGCCCGCCGTGCCGGCAGGTCTCAGGGTGCGACGGGGAGGAGTTATGCAAGGGGTGGGGAGGACCACACGTGCTGGATACAACGGCGCCAGCGGTCAGCCCATAAAGCTCTGATGGGCAGCGGGCTGAAGCAGGCCAGACGAGAGATGTGGATGAGAAGCAGGCACAGGAGGATCACCGAGAGGTGGAGGTGGAGCGAGGGACGAGGGGAGACGGGAGGAGGCGAAGAAGGAGCACAACATGGTTGTGGATTATTGTCAGCGGTGGTGACGGAGACGATGCTGCTGACGAGTTTGAGTCTGACGGTGATGAAGATTAATGTACCATCCATAATGATGGTAATGATTGTGGTGGTGATGAGGATGATGATGACGACGATGATGATGGTGCTGTTGTTGATGCTTTGATGATGATGATGGTGATGATCTTGATGATACTGATGATCTTGGTGTTGAGGATGATGACGATTATGATCATGATGACGACGATTATGATGCTGCTGCTCATTATGCTGCTGATACTGATGTCGACTAGCAGGTTGCTGATGCTGATGTTTATAGTGACGGTGACGATGATGGCGATGGTGACGAAAATGATGATAATGATGATGATACTGATGATGATGGTGGTGATGACGATACTGACGATGATGATGCTGATGATGATGCCGCTAACTGCTGCTGTTGATGATGGTGGTGATGATTATGATGATGATGGTAATGATAAATATGACTATGAATAGTTAGCTGAAAAAAATAGCGATGATGCCGATGACGATTTTAATCTTGATGCTGATGACGATGGCGATGATGATGATGATGATGATGACGATGACGATGACGATGACGATGATGATAGTGATGATGATGATGCTGATACTGATGATGATGATGATGATGATGATGATGATGATGCTGATGCTGATGCTGATGATAATGATGATGATGACGGTGCTGATGCTGCTGCTGATGATGCTGGTGATAGTGACGATGCTTGTGACGGTGATGATGATGCTGATGATGCTGATGGTGATGCTGCTGCTGCTGATGATATGGGTGATGATGAGAGTGATTCTATGCCGGATCATTGTGATGATGATGACGATAATGATCTTGGCGACGATGATTATTATTAGGATGCTGATGATGATGCTGGTGATGCTGATCATGATTACGCTGACGCTGATGCTGATGTTGTTATTGATGGCGATGGTGATGGTGATGATGATGATGCTGATGATGATGATGATGATCATGATGACGATGCTGATGCTGATGATGATTTTGATGATGATGAGGAGGATGATGCTGATGATGATGACGACGACGATAACGACGACGAGCTGACGACTATGATGATACTGAAGTTTAGGATGATGAGGAGAGGGGGCCTACGATATGGAGGGGAACCGGAATAAGGGTGACCCTGGGTGGCGGGGATGAGGGACGGGAAGGAGGATCAGTGAGGATGAGAATCAGGTGCAGGAGAAGGAATTGTATGAAGGAGGAGGAGATTCAAGGGACTGAGGCGGAACAGTTTGATCAAGATTCACATGAGCAGAATGGCGACATATTGTGATTACGAAGGCGGCTTTCGTAGTGATGATGATGCTGCTGCTGCTGATGATGATGATGCCGATGATGATGATGCTGATGATGATGATGCTGATGATGATGATGATGAGGAGGAGGAGAAGGATGATGATGATGATGATGATGATGATGATGATGATGATGATGATGATGATGATGATGATAATGATGACGATGATGATGATGCTGATGCTGCTGCTGATGATGATGATGACGACGACCACGAGGCTGATGCTGCTGATGATGCTGACGATGATGGTTTGCTGGTTGTGGTGGCGATTGGTATACTGATATTCACCACGGCATTGATGATTACTACGATGATGCTAATGTTGTTTTGGACGATGATGGTACTAGTGATGCTGCTGATGACGATTCATTACGCGGTTTACAGGGAGGTCTGAGATGTTTGGTTTGGCGCTGGTGTCTGGTATTGCCGGTGATCACGACACTGCGGCTCTTGCCACTGATGGTGGTCATGTCGGTTACGGCGATCATGATGCTCATGATGGTAAGGAATGTGATGTCGACGATGGCGATTGCTGTGGTGATAATGGTGGTGCGTACGATGATGATGCCTGTGGTAGTAGAGGCGACGACGACGATCATGATGATGCTGCTGCTGCTGATGATGATGATGGTGATGGTGGTGATGCTAACGATGGTGATGGTGATGGTGATGGTGATAGTGCTGGTGCTGGTGATGGTAATGATGATGATGATGCTGCTGATGATGATGAGGATGAGGATGAGGATGAGGATGATGATGATGATGATGATGATGATGATGATGATGATGATGATGATGATGATGATGATGATGCGGATGCTGATGCTGATGATGCTGCTGATGCTGATGATGATGAGGATGATGATGCTGCTGCTGATGATGATGCTGATGATGGTGATGATGATTATGATTATTATCTATCAATATTATTGTTATTTATTCTTAGTTTGATACTGCTGGCGATTGCGATCATGATGACGGTGTCGATGATGGTGTTCCAGAGGTCGCCTGGTGCTTTCTGGAGGCCCCTTGGGGCTTTCGGGGGGCCTCCTCTGGGCCTCCTGGGGACCCGGGGACCCCCTGAGGGGCTCCAGGGTGCCTCTTGGGCGCCCCCTGGGGGCCCAGAGGAAGTCTCGGGGCCATGCTGGGGTGGAGGGCCCCAGAGGCGCCCTCGAGATTGGCATTCGATCCTGTGCTTGCGCTGCATGGCTTCGGCATTCGATCGGCATTCGATCGTGGGCGTTCACTCGTGGTCCATGCTATGATGGCAGCGGGCGTTTGTCTTTCCCTCCACCTGGAGAAGTACGTAGCAGCATGATGCCAGCGATCCGAGCGCTGGCCTGCATGTGCAGCCTGGCGCCGCGCATATGATACCGCCCAGGAGCTTCAACACCCTGGTGACCAAATACTCCTTCCCGCCATGAGGGGTTAAGCGTGCCTTGATTTAGTGTTTCTGCGGCCCAGCTTGACAGTTCGAACAGCATGCCTGGTACGTAGCTGTCCAGCATTGTGCCTCCGCTGGGCCGCCCGAGGTCGGTGGTGGTCCCTTCGGTCACTTCCTGTCGCCTTTCCAAGGTATCTGCTGTAGCATTGCAGGGTGCAGATTTGGTGTGACACTGCTGCTCTGATCGGGGCAACCATCTGAAATTATCCTCCACCGTTTTCTCCTCGATCACGTACCTTTCCCTACTTCGCCTCCTAGCTCCACCTCTTCCCTTCTGCTCCACGTCACCATGCTCTTCCTTTCGCTCATCCTCTATACCAAGCTTTCGCGTCTCAGAGTCCCACAATTTCGCCCCAAGAACGCTCCTCCCCAGCTCCCTGCTCCTTCCTTTGTTCCTAAACGTTTTCTCCTTTCATTCCCTCCTCCTCTTCTTTTTTCCCCCCCCTCCCCCCGTCCCTTCCCCTTCCCCCCTCCTTCCTCCTCCCTGCTTCCCCTCGTCAACTTACTCCCCTTCTCCATCCGCATCATCGTCCTCTGCTCCTTTCCCCCTTTTCCTCTTTCGCATCCGCCTGCCTCTCCTCCTCACCGCTCCCTCATTCTCCCCCTCCTCTTCCTCCTACTCCTCCTCTTTCTCCTCGTCCTCTTCACGAGACCGGCCAGGGTCCAAACCCCGTAAAGCCCAGTACCGCAGCTCGCTGCATACCGAACATCCTCCTGGGAGTTGGCGCCCTCTCACCTATTGCGGGCTCCACATATCTTTCTCATCCTCATCCTCTTTCCTTGTCTCCTCCTCATTCTTCCCTTCCTCCCCCTCCTCCTTCTCTTCCCCCTACGTCGTCCCGTCTCCCTTCTCCTCCCTCTCCTTAGCCTTGTACCCTTCTCCATGTTATTTTTTGTCGGAAGGACGGGGGGATGTAGGGGAGGGAGGGGAGGGAGTTAGAGGAAGGGGGAAGTGTGCTGGGGGCGCCGGGGGGGAGGAAGAGGAGGACGAGAAGGGGAGAAGAGGAGGACGAGAAGGAGGACGAGAAGGAGGAGGAAGAGGAGGAGGACGAGAAGAGGAGGACGAGAAGGGGATGTAGGGGAGACATTTCGCAACTATTGATGACATCGGGTCGCGGCGGGGGGTGCGGGCCGCGGCCTTCTCGCGCCGACCCTTGAGTCGGCCCCGAGCGCAGGCCAAGAACATCAACCGGTCGCTGTCTGCCCTGGGCAACGTCATCAACGCCCTGACCGACAAGAACTACTCGCACGTGCCCTACAGGGACTCCAAGCTGACCAGGGTCCTCTTTCCTCCCCCTCCTCCCCCTCCTCCTTCCCCTCCTGGTTCCGCCTGTCGCATCCTCTGGCGCGTAGCGGTCGTTGCCCGGCCCAGGCGCCTCCCCCCCCCGGTAGCGATCGTGCGTCGGGTTGGGTGGGGGGGCTGCCTCTCCTCCCCCCCACGTCCCCCCGCATGCTGGTGCTCGCGCGCATGCTCTGGCGATCGCGGCACACCTCCGCCCCGACGTGCCCCGCCCGGGCCCAAGCGTTACTGCTGCCCGCCCCCCCCCTCCCCCGGGCAACGACCGTTACCCGAGATACTACGATCAGTCTCCCTCCTGCATCCTCGCCCTCCTACCTCTGCCCTCCTCCCTACTGCCTCCTCCCTCCGCCGTTCGCGATGCCGCTGGCGCTCGCGAGGGGGCCGCCGACGGTCGCGCTCGCCCTGCGGCCGCTCGGGGTGCAGGTGCGGTTCGTGAAGCCGACGGTGGGCGGCTGCTTCCCGATCTTCGAGCCGCGGAGGGAGCTGCTGCCCACGCTGATGGCCGCGCTCGTGCCGCGGGTGGAGCCGCCGATGGTCATCGTTGGGACGTCGCTGGAGCCCGGGCCCGTGCCTGCGGGAGCCGCCGATGGCCACATTCGGGCCGCTGCTGCACCGGGTGCCGACGCCCCACGCCCAGGGTCATCTTCGGGTCGCTGCTGGAGCAGCCACGGAGGTCGACACCTCCCCGGCTGCCCTACGCGGCTCGCCTGTTGCAGGTTGGCTTGAGCGCTGCTCCCGGTGTTTTGTCGCCCCGTACAGCCACCAGCGCACCAATCATGTGGTGACGTCAACCCGGCCGAGGGTTCCCACAGCTTGCGTGGCCACTCATACAAGAGTCATCATGGAAAAACAAACAAGCAGCAAGACACGTGTGTCGAACACCCTCGTGGACTGGTGGTGCCAGGCGCCCTTCGTAGTGGCTAGCGACGTGGTCATCCTGTCGGCCGCTGGTCTGCGACGTGATCCTCGTGGCGGTGTCTGAGTCGCCTGCAGGCTCTCCTCCTCGGCCTCCTCCTCCTCCTCCTCCTCCTCCTCCTCCTGCCAGTCTGGCTCGGTGATGTGGGAGGGGAGCGGGGCGTGTCTGCTGCTCGCCGCCTTGGCGGCAGGGGGGTGGGGGGTGGTCGGAGGGCGGCGTGGGGCGGCGACGGTTCGTGCACGCCGCTTGGTCGTGGCCTTGCCTCTTCCTCCTCCTTGTCGGCCGCTGCCGTCCGATGTGCTGGTGGCCGCGTGCGCAGGCGTGCCGTCAGCGACTCTCAGGATGTTGCTGTCGAATCCTGGGAGCTCCTACACCCTTGGCGATGCTTAAGAAAACTCGATTTTTCGCCCAGAGCCTCGATTATTCTTCATGTTTCAATGTAATTCCAAAGATTTTGATAGAATCTCTGGGGTCTTAATCAAATTCTGAGACTCTGAATTTCTTAACCCATGATTTCTTGAGCATTTCGCAGGGTGTATGTCCGGTCGGACCCAGGTATAAGATCGAGGTCCGTTCGGGGAGGGCACCCTCATGCTCATCGTGTTTGTTCAACGTTTTTGTGCATCCTGGCGGAGGGTACCCGAATGTTCTTCGTTTTGGCCGGCGGAGGGTCCCATGTTCTTGAAGGATGTTCTTCTGTCCTAGGTCTGGCCGTAGTGGCGATCTCGACTCCGCGTTCTGCGAGCGAGGAGCGTGGTGCAGGTTGCACTGCCAAGAGTCGGACGACGACGGCTCTGACCTGGACCTGGACACTGCTTTTGCACAAGCTACCGATGTGGCTCCTCCATGCCTGTGCGTCCTCGTGCATCGAAGCCTGCCGTGCCGTCGTGCTCGCATGCATTTGCCGTTCGGTGGCGTTCTCCGCCTTGCGTGGTGCCTCGCTGATCGCATGGGCTCTCCTCGTGCCTTTCGCTTGGCATTCTGTCGCGTTGAGCTGTGCACGCTCGCTCCTCTCCAAGTTGTCTTGCCTGTCCTCTCTCCTCTGTCGGCGCGATTAGACGTTTGGGTGGTCCTCCTCCTCCTCCTCCTCCCCTCCTCCTGCTTCTCTCCCCTCCCTCCTCCGCGCCCCCCCGCGCGCGAGTGGGCGCGTGCCCCCGCGCGCGTGGCGAGTGGGCGCGTGCCCCCGCGCGCGTGGGCCTCTGCTGGTTCCAGCCGCCCGCTCGTGGGCCCTGCCCGGTGTCCTGCCCCCCGCGCGCGGAAGGTCCTGCAGGAGTCGCTGGGCGGCAACGCGAAGACCTCGCTCATCATCACCTGCTCTCCGTCCAGCATCAACGAGCAGGACCCCAACGCCCCCTCGCTAACGTTGGGGCACTGACTTTTCCAACGGACGAGGGAGGAGGCAGGGGAAGGGAGGGGATGGGGAGGGGGCGAGAGGGAGGACGGGGCGGGGAGGGAGGGTGGGAGGGGAGGGAGTGCGGGAGGGGCTGTCCATGGACGAGGCCTTGCACGACCATGCGCGTTAGGATGCCTGTGTGCTCTCACGCTGAGGGTGCAAGGGCACCACGAGGGTTTGGTGCAGGGTGGAATCCCATCCTCTTGGCTTCTTGGGTGACCCAGAGGGTGGAAGGGGCCTGCACAGATCTCCTTCCCACTGAACAGTGATCGCGGGCTGTGTCCCCGTCGGTGCGCCGAGTGCCTCGGTATGCAGTCATTGGAGGGACGAGACGGAGGAACGGAGGGAGGGGGGCATGGAGAGGGTGACGATGGGGAGAGGGAGGGGCGGAGCGAGGGAGGGAAGTCATGAAGGGTTGGAGGGCGCGGCGGGAGGGGGCGGGTGGAAGGGGAGTGGAAGTTCAGAGGAGAGGATGGGGAGGGCAGGGAAGGAGGGATGGAGAGAGTGGCGGGCTTGTGTGTGTGTGTGTGGGTGCGGAGCGGAGCGGCCGGGATCGGGAGGGAAGGTGGGATCGGGGGGTCGGGGCTGCGGGGATCCGAAGGGGAGCGAAGAGGAGGAGGAGAGGAGGAGGAGGAGGAGGAGGAGGAGGAGGAGGAGGCGGAGGAGGAGGAGGAGGAGGAGGAGGACCAGTGGAAACCGAAGACGCATCAACGATGTTGCAATACACCCTCCCTCCAAGTTCTCTCTTCGTGGATACCCAAAACACTTCAACTTATCATGGGAAGTTTCTCAGAAGACAGCCGTCCGAGAATCCTGAACCGTGCCAGAACGTACCTGGGACCTCGAAGCCGCGAATCAAAGTGATATGGTCCGTCCCGGCAATCCAAAACTGCGCCAGAACGCAATTCCCGAGACTCCGATCCCGCGCACCAGCGTGACTGCTGTGTCCTGCCAATCCCAAATCGTGCGAGAGTCCAATTCCTGGAGCTTCAACCTCACGACTCTTGCAAACTTTCAGACGAGTGTGCGGCGCGGAGGCGAGAGCCACAACTCGACAACCACCCGCCCTGCGTCCTGGAAGCCGCTTCGCATCTTTAAAAGACGAATGGCCGCGGCGCTCCGGCGAGAGAGTCGCATTTCGAAAAGAGGCCGCTCTCCATCTTGAAGAGTGCTGCACACTTTGAAGACGACTCTGCCCGGCGCTGCGGCGAGAGCCACCTTTTGAACACCACGCGCCCTCCGTCTTGAAGCTGCTGCGTAGTTGAGTCTTCAGGACCATACACCTTAGGCGATGCTTAAGAAAACCTAAGTTTTCGTCCAGAGTCTCGATTATTCTTAATGTTTCAATGTAAATCATAAGATTTGAATGGGCATTCTGGGTTTTTACTTAAATTCTGAGACTATCAATTTCTTAACCCATGATTTCTTAAGCACTTCGCAGGGTGTAGATGGTGAGGAGCTCTCAGGCGAAACGCCCCGCCCGCCCGACCGACACGTCCGGAGGTGCGACAAGGGGGAGTTGCATATGAATCTGTATGTATGTGTGGATTTATGTATATACGGTAGGTTTGCGTCGTGTCGACCAGCGGCGACCCCAGCGCGGGCGTTCAAGGTTGAACGCCGCGGGCGACCCAGAATCGATCGATGTTGAACGATTGGACGTTGCGGAGACGGCCGATCGTTCAAGGTTGAACGATCCAGCGCGGTGTCAGAAACTAACGCCAGGGTCGACACGACACGAACCTAACGTATTTATGTCGGTCTGTCTACATGTGTTTATACAACATAATTCACTGACATGGACTGTACTGTATCGTCATGGAATGCATTGTAGTATAATTTGCCGTAGTGTAGTGTGATGTAATGTAGTGTGTGAATGTATGTCTGTATGCTTGTGTGGGTGTATCTATCAGTGTCTATATGTACGCATGTGGGTCGGTAGGTAGGTAAGTCGGTCGACATCTATGTCTCGATGTATGTACGTACGTACGTATGCATGTATGTATGTATGTACGTATGTATGCATGTGTGTACGTATGCATGCATGCATGCATGTATGCATGGATGCATGGACACATCCACGCATGCATGCGAGTATGCATGCATGTATGCATGCATGTATATGTATGTATGCATGTATATACATATAACAGGGGACCGGGTCCGGGGGCCCGGGGCCGGCGCCCCGACCACAAATGTGGGTTCCGGGGGCCCCAGAGGCTCGTCGGGGCTTGCCGGAGGCCTCCCCGGTCAGACAAGACGGCCCAAGAAGCGCCCAAGACGGCCCAAGAAACTTCCAAGAGGCCTCCAGGCCTCCAAGAGGGCTCCAAGATGCTGAAGATGGCCTCCAGACGTCCACGAACGCCCCCAAGACGCCCCAAGAAGCCTCCAACATGCGTCCCAAGAGGGCCCCTAGACGCAAAAATTGGCCCATTCCCTTCGTAAAACGTGCATTTTTCACAAAGTTGCCTTTTGGGCTTTCCGACGTTACAGGACGGCCCAAGAGGCGCCCAAGACCGCCCCAAGACGGCCCAAGAAGCTTCCAAGAGGGCCCCAGGACAGCCCAAGAGGGCCCCAAGACGGCCCAAGAGGCGCCCAAGATGGCCCAAGAGGGCCCCAAAGACGGGCCCAAGAGGGGGCCCAGAGGGGGACCACGAACCGCAAGCTCGAGCCTTCCGCCCCAAGAGGCCGCCAGGAGGCCCCAAGGAGGCCCCTCAAGAGGCCCCAGGAGACCCCCAAGAGGCCCAAAGGAGGCCCCGAGAAGCCCCAAGTCGGCCCCCAAAATGCTTCGAACCTGCTTCCAGGAGGCCCCCGACAGGTTCAGAGGCTCCCGAGAAGCTACGTCAAACTCCCAGCGAGCGGCCGGACGAGGCCCCCCAAAAATCCCAAGAGGGTTCCAGTATTTGAAAGAGCGTGTTCTACCGCTGCTGGGCGGAAAACCGGGGGGGGTCACTACCGGTTCGAACCCCTCCCCCCCCCCCCCTCTCTGGAAAACCGGGGGGGGTCACTACCGGTTCGAACCCCTCCATCCCCCCCCCCCCCCTGCTCATCATGAAAAGGGGGGGGGGTCACTACCGGTTCGAACCCCTCCCCCCCCCCCCCCTCCGGATCCGGAAAACCGGGGGGGGTCACTACCGGTTCGAACCCCCCCCCCCCTCGAAAACCGAGTGGGGGTGCGGACAGTGGTGGGGACGGTGTTGGTGGGGACAGTGGTGAGGGGATAGCGGGACAGTGGTGGGGACAGTGGGACAGTGGGACAGTGGTGGGGACGGTAGTGGTGGGGACAGTGGTGGGGACAATGGTGGGAACAGGGGGGGACAGTGGACAGTGGTGGTGACGGTGGTGGTGGGGACAGTGGTGTGGGGACAATGGGAATGAGGTGGAAACAGTGGGACAGTGGAGGGTACAATGGTGGTGGGGACAGTGGTGAAGGCGGTGGCGAGGACGGCGGTGGGACAATGGGACAGAGGTACAGTGGGGACAGTGGTGGGGACAGTGGGGACAGTGGTGGGAACAGTGGGACAGCTCAGTGGGACAGCGGAGGAGTCAGTGGGACAGTGGGGACAGTGGGGATAGTCGGGCAGTGGTTGGGGCCGTGGAGACAGTGGGGAGAGTGGAACCGTGGTGGGAACAGTTCTGGGGACAGCGGGGACAGTGCGACAGTGGTGGGGCCACTGGTGGGGACAGTAGGGGCGGTGGTGGAACCAGTGGGGACAGCGGTGGTGAGGACAGTGGTGCTGGGAACAACAGTGGGGGATGTGATGCGGACGGTGGTAGGGACCGGGAGTCGTTTGCTGGCGGTGAGCAGGGGGGGGGGGGGGTTCGAACCGGTAGTGACCTCCCTCAGATCGGAGGGGGGGGGGGGGGGGAGGGGTTCGAACCGTTAGTGACCCCCCCCCGGTTTTCGAGCGGGAGGGGGGGGGGGGGGGGGGGGAGGGGGGGAAGGGGGGGTTTTGGCAGGGGGAGAGGGGGGTGGGGAGGGGTTCCAGCAGGGGGGGGGGGATTTTCGAGGGGGGGGGGCGACCCGGGTTCCGGAGGAAAAGGTTGGCAATTTTCCACAGTAAAGCGGCGGTGGATCACGCTCTCTCCAGTATTTGTATCCTTCAGCGCTCTCTGGCCTTCTTCCCCCTGCCCCCTTCCCTGCGACTTTCGTTGACTCAAGCTCGCCTCCTCTCCATTTCCTCTCTCTGCCTCTCTCTCTCTCTGTCTTTTTTTTGTTTCTCTCTCTCTCTCTCTCCATCTCTCTCTTTCTCTCTCTCTCTCTCTCCTTCGCTCTCTGTCTGTCTGTCTCTCTCTCCCTCTCTTTCTCTCTCTTCTCTCTCTTCCTTTCAGATTCCGTGTCCTTGCGACCTTCTGCAGTCCCCGACGTCGCCACGGCTGGATCCGCTCGAGCGTGTCTTGTGATGTGCGGCGGTGCGAAGCCCGTCCCACTGATCAAGGCACAGGTACGAAATGATGGGTCCATCATTTCTTGCCTTCCCATGTGCGTTCCCCTATCGATTCCTGGGCCCGAGGTCGCAAAAATTACGACGTCGGAGGTCTGGGGAGGCGGGAAGCACGACCTGGACCTCCGACGTCTTGGAAAAATCACGACGGCGGTTTTTGTCAATTTTCGGCCTCCGGGGCCCCTCGCAGGGTCCCGGGACCGTCAGCAAACGACTCAGGATGAAAAAAAAAATCACACATCCCCAGGAAGTCGTCGAGAGGTCCAGGGGCCGCGCAAAGAAAACATCACGACATCGGACGTCCAGAGAGGAGGTAGGAACACGAGGAGGAGGGAGCCCAGACCTCCTCTGCCAACCCCCTTCTTTCCCCGAAGGGAAAGAAGGGGGTTGGCAGAGGAAACTCCTTAGACCACCTACGCCCTAAAGGGCTGGTGGGATTGTTTTCTTTTTGGTCTCCGTGGACGACCGCTCTGCTTGCCTCCGCTGGTCGTCTCTCCTCAGCGTTGTAGTGGCACCGAAGAAAACCCCAATCATTTTGTTGTGGGCTATAGAGCTACAGGGCTATCGGACTATAAGGCTGGAGAGCCATAGGGCTATAGGGCGATAGGGCTACAGGGCTATTGGGCTACAGGGCTATAGGGCTGTAGGGCTATAGGGCTATAGGGCTAGGGCCATAGGGCTATAGGGTTATGTGGGCTATTCGGCTATTGGGCTATAGGGTTGTTGGGCTGTAGAGTTATGGGGCTATAGGGCTATAGGGCTATAGGATCAGAGGGCTATAGAGCTAAAGGGCTAGCGTATATAGGGATATAGGGCTATTGGGCTACAGTCCTAAAGGGCTGAACGGCTATAGGGCAATAGGGCTACAGGGCTATACGGCTATAGGGCACCCCCAGGCACCCCGGCACCCGGGCACCGGGCACCCAGGCACCCAGGCACCGGGCACCCGGGCACCCGGGCACCCGAGCACCCAATTATGCCGCATGGGGCCGGAATCCTGCCGATTCTCATCAAACCTTTTAATCCGCCAGGACCCCTACAGAGGCAAGCTCTGATTGGGTACTAACCCATGGCAACCGCCGCTACCTTCGTCGCCGCGATCGCCGCCGTCTTCATCGCCGCCGTCGTCGCCGTCCTCGGGTTCTGTTCGGGCACCCTCTGGCCATCTCGTGGGGCACGCTGGGGGATTATCAGAGGCATCCGTAAGTATCCTGAGGGGCCCCGCGACTTCCCCAGAGACTCTAACTACAGAAACTCCTTTCGTATTCCGGCCAGAAGCATCCAGAAACGATGTACATTAGCCCTGGCGGGGGGAATGATGGCGATGGTGATGTTCATGATGACGACGGTGACGATCCTAGCTAGAACCTGAGCGCGCGCGAAGCGCGCGCGTGGTTCTAGTGCATATATCTGGTTGCGCACGAATGCATGCATGTACGCATGCATGTATGCATGCACGCATGTATTTATGTACGTATCTATTTATGTGAGCACATATTTATGAGTGTATGTATGCATGCATACATGCGTGTATATATATATATATATATATATATATATACATGCATGCATGCATACACGCATGCATGCATGTAGATATGTACGTACGTACGTATGCATGTGTGCATGAATCCATGCATGCATGCATGTGTGGAGGCATGCCTGTATGCACGTACGTGTTTGTGTGTTTATGTGCGCATGTACGTATGCATGCATGCATGCATGCATGTATGTCTTCCTGCATACAGGTATGTATGTTTAGGTGTGTGGGTGTATGTATGCATGCATGCATGCACGCATGTATGTATATACACGTGTAGCTATATACAGGCATGTGTGCGCATGTAAGTGTGTCTGCCTGTCTGCCTGTCTGTATGTATGTATGCATGCATGTATGTGTGTGTGTATGCATGTATGCATGTATGTATGCTTGCATGTAAGCATGCGTGTATGTATGCATGTATTGATGTACGCAGGTATGTACGTATGTGTGCGTATGTATGTGCGTACGTATGTATGTATGTATGTATGTATGTATGTATGTATGCCAGCCTGCCAGCCTGCCTGCCTGCCTGCCTGCCTGCCTGCCTGTATGTATGCGCGTGTACGTATGTATGTATGTATGTATGTATGTATGTATGCATGCATGCATGCATGCATGCATGCATGCATGCATGCATGCATTCATGCATGCATGTATGTATGTATGTATGTATGTATGTATGTATGTATGTATGTATGTATGCATGCATGCATGCATGTATGTATGTATGTATGTACGTATGTATGCATGTATGTATGTATGTATGTATGTATGCATGTATGTATATATGTAGGTTGGTAGCTCGGTAGGTAGGCAGGTCGGTACATATGCATTTAGGCATGTACGTATGCATGCATGCAGTCATGCATGCATGCATACATGCATGTATGCATGTATGTATGAACGCATGTATGTATGTATGTATGTATGTATGTATGTATGTATGTATGCATGCATGCATGCATGCATGCATGCATGCATGTATGTATGTATGTATGTATGTAGGTATGTATGTATGTACACACATATTAGATTTATGTATGTATGTATATATGTGTATGCATGTATGCATGTATGCATGTATGCATGCACGCATATATGCATGTACGCATGTACGCATGTATGTATGCATGTATGCATGTAGGCATGTATTCATGTATGTATGTACGTTTGTGTGTGTGTATATATGTATATATATATATATATAAATACACATTTCAATATAGAAACGGGATGGGGGGTGAGGAGGGATGGTTGGAGGGATGTGGGGGGGCAGACAAAGGGAGTGAGGGAGCGAGGGACGCAGGGAGGAGGAGGAGGAGGAGGAGGAGGAGGAGGAGGAGGAGGAGGAGGAGGAGGAGGGAGGAGGAGAGGAGGAGAGGAGGACGAACACCTCAACCCAGCCGCTGCGGGCGTTTGGGGCTCCTCCCGCTCCTCCTCTCCTTCTCCCTCCCTCCTCTCCTCCTCTCCTCCTACTTCCTCCCCCTCTCTCGCTCCCCTCCCCCTTTGCCTCCTCCTCGGCATCGCCCTCTCTCCTCCTCCTCCCCCTCTCTCGCTTCCCTCCCCCTTGCCTCCTCCTCGGCATCGCCCTCCTGCTCATTCCCGTCGTTCTTCCTCGTCGCCCCCCCGGCCCTGCCGGGAGCCCGCGACCATCGCCTGACAGGGGCCTCCGCGAGCCGAGCCCGCCGCCCCGGAGTCCAGGAGACGACCAGCACGCTGCGGTTCGGGCAGCGCGCGAAGATGATCAAGAACGTGGTCAAGATCAACCACGAGAGATCCGCGGAGGCGCGAGCCCTCGCGGAGGAGAAGGAGGAGGAGGAGGAGGCGGAGGAGGAGGAGGAGGAGGAGGAGGAGGAGGAGGAGGAGGAGGAGGAGAAGGAGGAGGAGGAGGAGGAGGAGGAGGAGGAGGCAGGAGGAGGCGGGAGGAGGAGAAGGAAGGAGGAGGCGGAAGGAGGAGGCGCGGGGAGGCGGGAGGAGGAGGCCGCCATAGGCGTTCGCCTTAGGCGGAGTCTGTGTGATCGGCCGCGGTGATGGTTTAGGCACCGCCCCCTGCCGCGTGTTGTGTCTTTCTCGGCACCACGTTGGGGACGGGTGCCTCGGACCTCGGTGCTCATCTCTCTGGGGGATTGGGAGGAGGAGGAGGAGGAGGAGGTGGAGGAGGACGAGGAGGAGGAGGAGGAGGACGAGGAAGAGGAGACGGGGGATGATGATGATGATGATGATGATGATGATGATGATGATGATGATGATGATGATGATGATGATGATGATGATGATGATGATGAGGCTGCTGATGATGCTGATGATGATGCTGATTCTGATTATGATGCTGATTCTGATTATGATGATGAGGATGATGATGATGAGGATGATAGGATGATGATTATGAATGATTATGAATGATGATGAGAGATGAGGATGCTGATGCTGATGTGATGATGCTGATGCTGATCTGATCTGTTCTGGATGTGCTGACGTGACGATGACGATGACGATGATGATAGGCTTATGCTGTGCTTGATGCTGATGCTGATGCTGATGCTGAGATGATGATGATGCTGATGATGATGATGCCTGCTGCGGGTGATGATGATGATGCTGATGTGATGCTGCTGATGAATGCTGATGATGATGATTGCTGAGGCTAACGATGATGATGAGCTGAATGATGCTGAGGAGTGAGCTGAATATGACCGATGATGCTGTCTTGTGTGCTGAGTGCTGATGATGCTGGATGATGCTGATGATGATGACGATGATGTAGATGATGATGTATAGGAAGGAGGAGGAGGAGGAGGAGGAGGAGGAGGAGGAGGAGGGGGAGGAGCAGGATGAGGAGGAGGAGCAGGAGGAGGAGGATGAGGAGGAGGGGGAGGATAAGGAGGAGAAGGAGGAGGAGGAGGAGGAGGAGGAGGTGGGGCGGGAGGAGGAGGACCACTGTAAACTCAAGACGCGTCAATGATATTGCAATGAGCTGTATTTCAAAGTTCCCTATTCATACGTCCCTACGAGAAGTTATTTTCATCGCAGAAGGTGCCCCATTGGAAGACAGCCGTCTGAGGTCTCCCGATCATGCCAAAACGTTATTCCTGGGACTTCAACTCCGCGATTCAACTGTTGCGGCCTGGCAGTCCTAAGTCGCACCAGAACACAATTCATGAGACTTCAACACTGGGGCCGTCTCGGGGCCGTTTCTGGGGCCTTTTGGCCTGAGGTTTGGCAATCTTGGAGCTGAATTGGCCGTCGTGGGCGGTTGGAAGACTGAAGAGGCGGTGCTGCCCAAATCCTCCAACAACCTAAGTAAAGTCTATGATTTCTGGCATCTTTAGAGCTTGTTGCAGCTGCATCTGGACATTATGAGGCTATCTTGAAGCCTTTTAGGAATTGATTGAGGCCATCGTGGAACCTGGCACCCATGGATCCCGACTCGAATGACCTCTTGGAGCTCCCCTGGGGTCCCTCGGGTCGCTCCTGGGGCGCTCTTGGGGGCCCTGAAGACCGTCCCCGGGAATTCTGGCATCCGTGACACCGAACGCCCAGAGACCGCCTGGGGACCCCCCGGGGCGCTTTCCGCGCTGGGACACCCAAGGCCGCCGCGCGCGCGAACTAGGTCAATCGAACCCTTCCACGGGAGATTTCAGCACGATCCATCCTCTTCGCATTCCTCATTACTCGCTTGAAGGATGCAAGGCAGCTTCTTTTCTAAATGGGCCGAATGGCATGCCCATCGGGTGCTCGTTCTTCATGGGGGCGCGTCTTGTGAAAGGGAAGGCTTGTAGGGACTTGTGAGGAGGAGGTTTTGGACGGGAGAGTGTGCTGCAGTTGAGTTGGTGCATGCAGTGTTTATTCTGGCCCTCCTCCTCGAAGATCCTCGATTGAGGCTATCCAGAAGCCCGCGACCCGGATCTCCCACGGCTCGATCTTTTTGTAGTCGCTGGGTCCCAGACCACTTGACGCTTCTCCTGTTCTCCGGCGGTGCTGGGGTCTGAAACCGCCCCACCCACCCCGAGGTTTCCTCTCACCCCACAGCCTTCGAAGAACAAATAAGTGCGTAAACACTAACTTTCGAAGCTTCTCGTGTTTTTTGCTTGGATCTGCGTTGGGCCCCCCTGGCGGCGCCTCAGGGGGGCTCAGCGCAGATCCAAGACATCCGCGCGGACTTCCAACAGTTTATGTTTATGCGGCTTTTTCTTCCTCCAGACATTGCGAGTTGTTTCTGGCGAGATCTGTTCGAGCCGCTGCAGGTCTCCTGCCCCCCGTGCCCGAGGATCCGGGGCAATGTCAGGGCGGGAGGCTAAGGGGGGTATGCATCGAACCCTCAACCAGCCACTCCTCGCCGGCAGATGGCTGATTGCCCACCCTGTCGAGAAAAGTGCGGACTTGCCCTCGGGGGCCTATCGCTGACCTATCAGCAATGTATTGCCGATTTCAGGTCGATGATCCCCCCCCCTTGAGCGGGTCCTGAGCAGGTCATACATAGCTCGGGTCTCCGGCGACCGTTCGGAACGATCTGGGCACGCCCGGAACGCTTTCGGCGAGGCGCAGCCGCTAGAAGGCATCCCGAGGCTGGAAAGCCGCCGAGAACCGACGAGAATGCCAGAAAACCTCGGTTTCGAAACTTTCAGCCAGACCCCCCGGGCCATGGTATCCCAGCCCCACCATCCCACCCCCCCCCTGGGGAATCTGATTCACCAAAACAGGACCCCTAATCATTTGGGAGGGGACTTCAGTTAGGAGGGACAAGAAAGTTAGGGATAGGAGGTCTTTTCTGCAGATGTACCAAACCAAACCGCCCATACGTTTTAAACGAATGCAGAGACGTGGGCCTCAATGAGGCCTCATCGTGTTATTAGGGTTAGGTGTTCTTTTTGGAAACCTGACTGGACAGGCCCCTCGAACCCATGCTGTGGGGTAAATCGGCCAGTTGGAGCCCGGCCACGCAAATTGGGTAGGGATCGGTGAATCGATACTCACTAACGTTGCCCTCCACCCCTGCCCCAGCAGGGCTCGTTTCGATTCCTCCGATTCGATTCGATTTCGATGGCTTCTGATTTCGATTCGATTCGACTTCAGACTCCGATTTCGACTCCGATTTCTCAATGGGGGCCTACCAGCAAGCCCGTCGATTTCTGCCGATTCGACTTCTCCGGACTCGGCTTCCGTTCTCCGCTGATCCGATTCCTGTCGATCCCCGATTCGACTCATCGATTCGATTCTGTGCTCTCCCGCCCCCTTTGTTGGAAGTTGACGGCAGAAGGAAGACAAGGAGAGAGGAGGTGATCCAACCAACCCAGAGGAGCACGAAGCCATGATAAGGATGCGCTCCAGCGTGTTCCTGCACGTCCTGGATCTCCAGGGCCTCCTCGGGCTGGGCTAGGACGAGGAGAGATCCGTTCCAGAGCGCTCCGGAACGCTCTGAGAGCGTTCCCCAGCGCCCTGAGGACGCCGCGGCGCCCGAGCCATCTTCCCGAGCCGCGGGATCCCAGAGACTCGCGACTTACCCTCACCCGAATTCGTCCTCGTCCTGGCTTCGTCTTGCTTCCCGCTGCCCCCTCCCTGCAGCTCGGGGCTCCCCCGCCCCAGGAGCTCAAGGCCCTGCTGGCGAAGCGGGAGCCCCCTCCGGCGGGGGGACGCCCGGCCTGCCGGCCGGGCGCGCGTGCGGGCAGCAGCAGCAGCAGCAGCAGCAGCAGCAGCAGCAGCAGCAGCAGCAGCAGCAGCAGCAGCAGCGTGTTTCTTTTTTTGCTTGGGGCATAACGGGCATTACGCCCCCCGGCGCCCCCCCCTACAACGAATTCTCCCCCCCCCCGGTGCGCCCTGAGCACTGCCGCCGTGCGCATCGGGATCCGCACAGGCGTCCGCATAGGAATCCGCATAGGGGTTTGGTCCGCAGTCGTCGCCGTCGTCGTCGCCGTCGTCGTCGTCGTCGTCGTCGTGGTGGTGGTGATGGTCGTCGTCGTCGTGGTCGTCGTCGTCGTGGTCGTCGTCATTGTCGCTCGTCGCTCGTCGCTCGTCGTTCGTCGCTCGTCGTCGTGCGCGCGGCGGACGCGGCTGGAGCCTCTTTTTTTTCTGGGCCGATGACGGCCGTCATTTGGGGGGGGGGAGGGGGCCGATGACGTTACGTGCCGCGCCAGCGGCGTTTGGAAATGCTTAGGAATTGCCGAGGACGGGTAGCAGTAGCATGTATGTGGCGATTTGCGCCACAGCGCCTGTGTAGACCACAGTGCCTGCGTGCACCAGAGCGCCTGTGTACACCACACCGCCTAATTATGTACACCACAGCAGCCGCGTGCAACACAGCGCCAGTGTGTGCAACAGTGCTTGCGAGCAGCACAGCGTTTGTGTACACCGTTGCGCCTCTGCGCACAACATCAGCCGCCGTGTGCAACATAGCACCAGTGTACACCACAATGCATGCGTGCACTACAGCGACAGTGTACACCGCGGCGAACGTGTACAGCGCAGCAACCATGTGCAACAGAGCACCACTGTCGCATATATAATTTTAGAAGTAATCCTGATGACAAAATGGAGCGCCAGTGGATTCCACATAATAGTCTTATATAGGATTTTGAGACGAATCCTTATGGGAAATGGAGTGCCACTGGAATCTACAAGTCCTTCCGACTCTTCCCGCATCATTCTAACTCCTCCTATCTGCGTCCAGGACGTTCCAGCAGTATTGGCAGTCCGAGAACCAAGGGGGCTGATTGAATAAACCACGCTGCTGTTCACGCTGAAATGTGCACGTGCGCTGTAGCGCCGGCTCGCATGACAGGGGGGAACGG